GAGAAATGTGGTGGGATTACATAAAGAAGTGTCAAAGGAATCTTTTGGGAGTTAGGGGGAGGGAGCCACCCACCCATGCTATCCTCCTTCCCCTCTGCCAGCTGCTCCCAGATAAACATTCGTATTCCACATACAATAAACTCCTAATTTTATTTTTTCTTATTTTTTATCTTTATAGTACAGGTACTGTGCAGTATACAGTTTTCTCTTTATTCATAAGGCAAATTCTGTGGTAACTTACATATAATGCTATAGTAAATAACAATCATCTTGGCAACAACAGTTGTTGACAACCAGACTTATATGTCTGATTTTCAACCCAGAGAGTTCTGTTTCATATTTTTTTATTGTTTATGTAATATTCTTTTAATAACCTTGTTATACACTTAGACCTTAGTTGTTGAGGTGCAGCAATAACATAACATCAACTGATTTTCTTTAAACAGTTCAGATAGCAGTGAGTGACACAGTATGACAGGTGATATTTTTTCTTTCACAGGAAGCTGGCACCATCTCCCCTTGGGAGTGTCAACTCTGCCTTGAGAGTTATGATGAGACACACAGACGGCCACGCTCTCTATACTGTGGCCATCCATTCTGCTCACCCTGCATCACCAGCTTGATTGATAATGGTCAGCTCACATGTCCCACCTGTCGTGTCGTTCATAAAGTTACCAGAAATACTGAATTTCCCATCAACTTTGGCATGGAGGATGTTTTTAGATCATTAAAGTCTCTGCAGGTTACACCTGTAGTAACAGCTAAACCTGTCCAAGACCCATCAAGAGCCATCAGCAAGAACCTACAAGCTCTGATGCTGGAACAGGAAAATGATATGAAGAGCCGTGATCCCATCTGCCAAGATTTATTGCAACAGATGGATGAGTATGATGCTGAGTTGGTAAAATCCCAGAAAGATCATGAACAAATTCTTACAAGATTGAATAGTTTAGTTAAACAGAACAAGCTAGCATTACAACTCCAGCAGGAGCAAAGGAATATTATACAAACTATGAGGAAAGATTTTGAAGAGCAGAGAAAGCAACGAAACACCATACAGGAGTGCATGACCTCGGTCAGCACTACTCAGGAAGCTCTCACTGCTGTCGAGGATCTGCTAAGCTGCTTAACAGGGATGAAAAACTGGATTCAAAAGTGTCAGGAGCTGTTTCCTGATGTTAAAGCTATTCACACATCAATGAAGGTAAGAACTGCATCCCATAAGTATACAATTCATATATATATATATATATATATATATATATATATATATATATATATATATATATATATATATATATATATATATATATATATATATATATATATATATATATATATATATATATATATATATATATATATATACACACACACAGTATATACAGTATACTCCGCTTTACACAGTTTCACTCTTTCCATGATTTCATTTACACGGTACCTTGCCAGAACCACCGGACTTTCACTTTCCGCGGTGCATCTACTCATATACGCGGTGAAGTATAATTTTTTTTTTTATTTAGCTCATAAAATTCATACAAATTACTCGGCCAGAATATAATTTACATTGCTGGAATTCTTACAATATGATGATCATTTTGAATATAAACATCATGGATTTTGCATTAGACATACAAATTTTAGATCTAATGTAATAATTTGGTTTACACGAAGCAAATATTTTATCTTTTGTGCAAAATATATGAAGTTTACATTCAAAATATTCCCTGACCTGCAAGGAATCCAGAAATGTCAATTATATTATCCTAACTTTAGTCTGAGGTATTATTTATTACTAAACATTAAACTCTAGAGTTTTCACCCAAACATTAATCAGAGAGGTAGGAGCTAGTGAGCTGGGAAGAGGGGGGGGGGGGCGATTTGAGTCCATTATTTGAATGGACGTTAACCTGGCGACTGGATTTCTCTAAAATATTAATTGTGTGAGCATACCATCATAAAATTTAGATGTTATTTTTACTACAACATAGGTATTGTGTCGGAAAAAGTGGAGTTTGGGGGTCCGGCCAGTCTCTATTGGAATTAATCCCATATGTTCTGTTGTTCACTTTACGCGGTTTTCACTTTCCGCGGTACCCTGTGGGTTCAATTGACCGCGTAAATCGGGGTACTACTGTATATCTCTCATTGTCATTTTGTTAATTTTTTCGTAATTATTTATTCATATAGAGCCACTCCTCGACTTACGACCTACTCGACTTACGACCTGCCTCAGTCGTACCAAAATTTTTTCAAATTACTTATTTTCGAGTACCAACGTCAGTGATTGCGCTGTTCGTTATAGCATTTGTTCGTTATAGGATTAATCCGTTCCAGGCCCCCAAATACAACCACTTAACACTGAAAAATATAATATAAAATTGTAAAAATTGTAAAAAAGTGCATAATACAGGTGAGAGTGGATGACCCATTGCCATACCAAATTTTTTAGCATAATATTCTCCATTGAATTCGAATTTGCAATCCTTAATACATAGTTTGATGAGTTCGATGAAGTCGTCTTTCGAGATGGGCAGTGAAATATCATCCAGGGAATCAGTGAGGAACTCTAGTAAATCATCAACTGGGACCTGTAATAAGCAACCTATATATGGAATTCTTTGAAAAGAAACTATTAAGTAATATTTTACCACCTTCAGCAGTCTGGTTTAGATATGTTGATGATGTATTATGTCTCTGGCCATGTAATGAGGACCTAAAAGCTTTCCTGCCACAACTTAACAACTTAGCCCCCTCGATCAAATTCACTGTGGAATTAGAGCAAGACTGTAAATTGCCATTCCTAGACTGTCTGATACACAGAATAGGTAACACTTTTAAGTTCAGTATTTATAGAAAACCAACTAATGTGTGTTCATACATTCATTATTATTCTGCCCACCATAATAAATTCAAACAGTCAGTATTTTCAACAATGTTTTTACGTGCCTTGAGAATTTGCAGTCCGGAATTCATTGATGAGGAATACAAATATATATATAATATTGGCTCAAACCTTAAATACCCTAGATCTTTCATAGACAAATGCCTAAACATTACTAAGAAAACTTTTTATAGAACTGATCCCAAGCCCACCCATGACCATAAGAATATCTTAATATTACCATTTCACAAAAATTTCTCACACATTCCTTCACAACTAAAAACCTGGAACGTCAATGTGGCATTTAAAAACTCATGCACTGTTAAACAAATGTTAATCAAGAACTCCCCCAACAACACAATTGGTTGTATTTATAAAGTTCCTTGCAAGGAATGTAATATGTTTTACTTAGGCTAGACAGGTAAAGATCTTGCAACTAGAATTAAACAACACAAATACAGTGTTAGGACAGGCCAGGAATCCAATGCTCTGTTTGTTCATTTGAGGGACAACAAGCATTGCATTGACTGGGATAATGCCTCCTCAATATTACCATGCAATTCAATTGATAGTAGGAACATCATAGAATCTAGTCTTATTAAACATACCGAAGCATTCAACATGAATTTGAGTAACGGCATGTACAAGCTGGACAATTTTGTAATTAAGAAGATTTGGAATCAGGTGAGAAGGTCGGGTCACCTGACCATCTGACCTGACCACCAACCGTTGTGTGCTATTTAAAGATTAGTAGGGTCATTACCTAATACCTGACCATTGTGGACCTGGTCTCACCCTCCTCTGTATATATACACCTTGGTTTGTATTTCTCTTAAGTCTGTACTCACCCCTGAAGATGTGAATTACACGAAAGCGCTTGGGAACTTCGTGTTTTCTTCTTTCCTTGTGGTTATCAGCATATATATATATATATATATATATATATATATATATATATATATATATATATATATATATATATATATATATATATATATATATATATATATATATGTATGTATGTATGTATATATTGTATATATATATATATATATATATATATATATATATATATATATATATATATATATATATATATATACATATATATATATATATATATATATATATATATATATATATATATATATATATATATATATATATATGTATGTATGTATGTATGTATATATATATATATATATATATATATATATATATACACACACTATATATATATATATATATATATATATATATATATATATATATATATATATATATATATATGTATGTATGTATGTATGTATGTATGTATATGTATGTATATATATATGTATATATATATGTATATATATATGTATATATATATGTATATATATATATATATATATATATATATATATATATATATATATATATATATATATATATATATATATATATATATATATATATATATATATATATATATATATATATATATATATATATATATATATATATATTAGGGTGGTCCAAAATATCACATATTTGTATACGTTTTCTCCACAAGGTTTATTTTTGTCCATTAGGTACAAAATGCATCCCAGAAAAAAATTGGATCATTTAAAGCATATTTAGAGGTCAATCCAATGTCCTCTTTTTTCCATTTAGTACGTAATAAGGATTTTTCGGGGCTAGATAAACACATTATAAACACATTGTCTTTATTCAGCAAAATACAATTATAAGTTTTACAAATTACAAACTAAATAACTCTAGAACACCAATACACATTCTTTATTTGTATCCCTTCATCATAGCAGCTTTGCTTGCCGTTGGTAACTTCTTGCGATGAGCTGCAACAACCTGTAAAAGGTACTGCTTTTGGTCCTCATTTTGCGTTATAGACTCATTATAACGCTCTATGAGAGCAATTGCCCTCTCTGCGCTGTCATTCACCACCTTCATATTTATCGCACGATCTCTCATTGTGATAAACACTTCATCGTCTTTCCATGTTTTGGGATCCTTACTCAAGAACAGTTGTGCTCTTTCTTTGCCATCTAGTGTAAGAACATCAAAAATATCTAATGTACGCTCAGTAACAAATGAGGCCACATTACTGATAGGAGTTTCATCAGATAGGACAATACGCCTTGAAAAGTCCTGTTTCTTTGGGCACTGGAAGTTTTGTACCATATTCTTCTTGGTTTCAGTATCGATCCTGTCATCAAATAAGCTTAGACCGATAAGATGTTCTGATAGATACCAGAGATGTCGGCTAATTGCTGCTTGTGCTGCGTGTGCAACTTTCTCATGAGGATATTCCTTTAAAACCTTCATTAGCTGCAAATCATTGAATGGAGCTCGAACAGCCATTGGTGCTTCATGCCAGAATCTCACATACATTATGCTCACAAACAAAGCCAGTTGTGTGATATTGTTTTCTTCCCGTGTTGATAATGTGAATTGGTGTTTGAACAGATAGATTTTGAGAGCATAGATTCCTTTTGCCATCCATCTTGCATGGTGTGTAGGACCAGGAACTCGAAAGGAAACCTTACTACTTGGCAGTCCACCAAGAAACAAAAGAGCTAGTTCTAGAAACTCCCTATAATCATCTCGTGGCTGATTATCCTGCAGGGCTACTGGCAAATATATATACCATAAATGAAAACAAAAAGAACCAATAACATAATGTTAGAGTTTGCAAATACACACCTTCTCCTGCAGAGGTTGTAACTCAACTGAGGAGCTGCCAAAGTGGCTCAGACCTGCGCACTCACTGGAACCAGATCAGTGTTGCCAACATCCTTACAAAATCTGTAACTAAGTCTAATTATTTCTCACAGGTAATAATTGCCTGCCATTCATATGCCATGACACAAGATGGAAACCTGCATAATATACTATTTAGATTGATAATGAAATAATTGTAGAACTGATGAGATATAAATGAAATAAGTAACTTCATCTGATTAATGGTAACCCTTGTCTGTGTTTCCTGTTTCAACCTGTCATTGTCAGTCCCTATGACTCAATACTTGACTCTTTGCCCTTTCCAAATAGGCATCTAGGCTATATACATTGAAATATACCCAATATAATGTGTTGTGTATATTAAGACTGTATCATGCGGACAAGAAAATTCAGTCCTACACTACAAGTATAATATGCAAAATGGATTGACCTCTAAATGTTAATGAATATGGATAACATTTTACAGACCTTATCTATGAACCAAATGGACAATTTTAAGGCTTTTGGAGGCAATATATTACTACTTATATTTTTTACCATATAGTTTTGGACCACCCTAATATATATATATATATTT